TATGCTTACTTCATTTATAAATACAATATACTATTAACCACTATGGCTTTATGTAGAGCAAAAATAAATTGAATATACTTGGTAAACAGCTAAGGGCGAACTTTAGGCCGAGAATAATGCATATAATGACACCAGATTTAGTAATAAGTAAAGACAACGTCGGGACAAATACCACTACAAGTAACAGAAAGAGAGGGCAGAATGAGGAATAGGAAGAAAAACTTGCCTAAAATAGTATAATATAAGCGTCATGCCATTAGATCTTTACTTTAATATGAAAAGATGAGTGTATAGGCTTCGAAAATTAGCAATTTTAATCGTAGATTTGAGCGAAGAAATCCTCAAAGTACTGTTACAAAACTCTGATAACTCTATATGAAGCATATTCATCTTATTTCGTTCAAGATTATAAAGAGACTGAGAGTCGAATTTTCCCATGGTAATATGAGTGGAACTTACATTTCCATTGGATTTCACATAGCCTTGCTTTCCTAAAGGGCATTGTCATTCAGGGTGGACTGCAGTTTCGAATTCGCTCAGGTTTCATCAGCACACCCGGTGGTATGTGAACCTACCTAGTGCGATGTATACTCTTGACACGTTAACCATAGGTCAAATAACAAAAGTGACTTTCAAGGAAGGCCATGCCTTTTCCATATATCTTCCTATGGTGGGATTGTCGATATCTACGTTACTTATTTTTCTTTTAAAAGGCTTTCGTGACTAACTTTCCGTAGGTTAAGTCTGCTACTCCTGAATTGATGTCAACGCGGGGATTTTATAAGAGTGACACTGATGAAGTGTGTCATAGGAAAGACGAAATCGCAGCCCCTTTTCGTCCGAACCGATCGAGGAAGATTCGGGGACTGTGTCAGCCGGAATGTTGTAGAAGCGTCAAAAGACCGCATAACAGCTGGAACCAGCGGTTTTTTCTAGTGTGATCGTCCCACTAATTTATTTTTAGGAACTTTGACAAGAAATTCAGAGCACCACAACAAGGAGAGAATAATTGCGAAAAATTTAGAAGAAAAAGCCATTTTTTGTTTATAATGAGGTTTTCATGAGTACTTATAGATATGAGATATATTCACCTTATTTCGTTTAAAGTGATGAAGGGCTGGCAGTAAAACTTCCCCAGAATTACATGAGTAGACCTTAACGCCTCCAATAAATTTCGCATAGCCCTGATTCCCAAAAGATATTCTCATTTAAGTTGGACTGGACTGCAGTATCGACCTTACCTAGGTTTCATCAGCATCCCTAGCTAACTCATCGAGTTTATACATTGTATTACTCGAATTCGAGTCCCGTTGAAGCTACTGATGAGATCCAGGCGAGGTCGAAACTGCAGTCCAGCCTGGATGAGAATACTTTTTTGAAAGCAAGGATATGTGAAATTTGATGCAAGCGTTAAGCCTACTTATTTGATTGCGGGAAAATTAAAATACAGCCCTTCATAACCTTCAACGAAATAAGGTTAACATATCTCATAAAAATCAATTTTAATGGATAGAAGGAAAATAAATAAAAATACTAGCTCAATATTGCGACGTTCTTCCAAAATTTCATCCAAACGATGCCTATAATCTCGGATTGGCTTTCACATTCTATCTAGCACATTTTCTTTTAACTCAAACGGTAGACTATTCAAATTATGTTCTCGGAATTAGTGCCTTTATCTTAGCCATATACTTTTTGAAATAATGCTTCCTCTTTTTAATCGTTCAACATTTGTGACTCTCCCTCGTCCTCATAATCAGCCTGCCATTTCCAGTTGGGGAAAAAACATGCGCAGACGTCGGAAAACCAGGTTCACAGCAAGCCGACCCATCCAGCCCCGTTAGTTCTTGTGACGAAGAGGCAGCTATCCAGGGGAACGCATCCCCTGACTTTGACTCAAAGTCTCCAAATCAGACTGGCTTCACTTTGCTGTCACCCGCCAAGTCAAGTCAAGTTAGCCATTCTTTACAGCCCGAACCCCACCAACTCATTAATAATAAAAGCCCTATAGAAACGGCTTCTGGAGTTGAAGGTTCAGCAGCCCTGAGGAAGTCGAACGAGCCAATTTCACAAGAAAAAAGAGACTTGCATAAGCCCTGGCAACAACCTAAAACAGAAGGCGATACGGCGGAAATGCAGCGCTTTCAGAAGCTAGTTGACACGGACAAACGGCTAACGGAACTCACCGAAAAGCTCTCGCAGGTATTTACCAATTTTTAAAACCACTATACGTTTTCACCACTACTTAATCAATAGGATACAGAAATATGAAGATTGTTATTTTTATTATTTTATTAGGTTCTGATAAATAATAATGAGTTAAGTATACTTTCAGTAAGAAATTATCGTCATAAATCTGGATTCGATACTGAGCCTCAACTAGGCATCTTCGATAAGTATTTTATGAAGAGATTCGAAGGTCGGTTCAACCATAAGACGACGGCGGATTCCTCGTGATAAACTGTCGATTGGCTTTACTGGAAGATTCATGCTGACGCTATTTCCGAGGTAATCTTCTTCGATTCCGGTGA